CGACGTTTTTTTTTCGCTTGCTTGCTTGCACAGGTTGTCTTGAATATGGGCCTTTTATAGCCCATTAAGCCCCAAGTATGTTAAGTCATTACCAGACATATAACGGCCCATATACTGTAGATCTGACTAAATCTGTGGTATTTGGAATCCTTTAATTGACAAAAAGTTCAAAACTTAATTTGGAAAATATTTTAATCTCTTGATTTGATCTTTTACATTTTTTAAAGTTCAGTGGATGAATTTGCTATATTCAGTTTCAAATTTTTAATAAAAAAGCAAAAATATTTTTAATTAAACAATTTGGAGCATTCCAATCAACAATCCCGGATTTAAAAATGTTAAAATCAAGTTAAAAAAGCAAAGAATCCACACTGTAGACTAAACTCGACCAATGACCATTTTCGCAAAAACATGATTTTGAATTCAAATGGACCAAAAAACAAAATTAATTTTGATTTACATCTTCTTTTGTTCTTTTTCAAATCTCTCTCTTTCTCTGTCTCTGAAGAAGAAACCCTAGGAAGCTTTTGTGATCTTCAACGGGAAATATGACTTCGGCTCCATCCGCCGGTCGTGAGCTCTCGAATCCGCCGTCCGACGGCATTTCCAATATCCGATTTTCAAATAACAGTGACCATCTCCTCGTTTCTTCATGGGATAAGGTTAAGAGAAACCCCCTCACTATCTTCGCTGGTTTTTTTTCACTGATTTGATTTGAAGTCTTGTTCCTTCTTCATCTGAAGCTTTTTTCTTTGTGTTTTGAAATCTAAGCGTGTGAGATTGTATGATGTGAGCACGAATTCGTTGAGAGGGGAGTTTTTACACGGCGGGGCAGTACTCGATTGCTGTTTCCACGATGAGTCCTCTGGTTTCAGTGTTGGCGGCGACAACAAAGTCAGACGGTATGTGTATTGTGTAGCTTAAGCTATGATTATTCGTTTGAAACGAGTTTTATTTTTATTTTTTTGCGTTGATGAAGAACAAAGCTAGGGATTTATCCGTGTTACTCAGTTTGAAGCGAGATTCTTTTGAATTTCTTAGTGTAGAACTTCTAAGTTTTAAGTACTGGAGTAAATGTGTATGTTATTTGAAAGCTTTGTGAACTAGGGATGCGTAAAAAATCTCAATCTTGTGAAGAGGCTAATGGCATAAGAATGTTTCCCACTGAGGCTTATTTCAACATTGGTTGCTTAGAAGTTTTAATTTTCCTGCTCAGAAGTTGTTGATTTTCTACCTTGGTACTTCTACTTTTAGCAAGTGCTCAAAATGCATTGTGATTTATTATACTTCAGGATTGTTTTCTCTGATTATACTTCAGGATTGTTTTCAATGTTGGCAAAGAGGACATTCTGGGGATGCATGAAAAACCAGTGCGATGTGTTGAGTATTCTTATGCTGCAGGTAGGTAGAGTGGTAATCATGCTCTTGATGCTAGTTGATCAATTACATTGTCGATTTCTGGTGCTTTTGATGGCGAGAAAACTCATAGTTGAGCCATTTCTGTTAATGCAACGCCGATGATACATATTTAAAATCTCTTATTCTTTTGTAAATATCTGTATCTGGAACTCTAATATTATACTTTCAGCATTTTGGTTCTTTCTTACTTCCCCAGAGTGATGCTGACACATTATGTTTTATGATGTTACAGGGCAAGTTATCACTGGATCTTGGGATAAAACAGTTAAATGTTGGGATCCAAGAGGTGCAAGTGGGCCGGAACGCACCCAGGTGGGAACATATCTGCAACCAGAGCGTGTTTACTCTCTGTCACTTGTTGGAAATCGTTTGGTAGTGGCAACAGCAGGAAGGCATGTGAACATCTACGATCTCAGAAATATGTCTCAACCTGAGCAAAGAAGGGAGTCTTCGCTGAAATACCAGACGAGATGTGTGCGTAGTTATCCTAATGGAACAGGTTAAGTGACTGACATATTGTTGGCAATATCTAGAGTTGCTAATTTGTTCTTCCAGTTCCAATGTGAACCTTTTAGCCTCAGTTCCTTTTCCACAGATTTGAATTTCTGATTTTGAAAATTTACAGGATATGCCCTTAGCTCTGTTGAAGGAAGGGTTGCAATGGAGTTTTTCGATCTATCAGAGACTGCTCAAGCTAAAAAGTACTTTCCTCGTGTTTTTCTTCTTTTCTCTTTTCCACGAATTTGACTTACATATATATTTGAACATGTTCTCAGATATGCTTTCAAATGTCACCGCAAATCAGAGGCTGGAAGAGACATTGTTTACCCCGTAAATGCCATTGCCTTTCATCCAATGTGAGTTTCTTATCTTAGAAGGAGTCCAACTGTTTCATAGATTTCTAGATTTACTACTTTTTACAGAACACAAGAAGGTGAAACTGATAGTTTAACTAAGTAAGGGAGGAGGCAAAATATTTTACTCTAAGGTTTTGTCCACTTATTAAAATGGTGAAGATGAAGTTCTAATGATGAAGAGAACAAATGGAATTTGAAGGCTAGTCCGAAGATGCTTGGATGCGAATATGCTATCTTTGTAAACAATTTCTGTAACTATTTTGTTTTTGAGTCTAATATTTTAGATTCAACCAGACAATATATTGACTTATGCTTGGTCTGAGAAGTATTGGGAAAGTTATGATGCTGAGAAATCTCCCCATGTATATCTACACTGCCCTGTGTAATCATCTGAAACTTTAATTGCAGTTATGGCACCTTTGCAACCGGAGGTTGTGATGGTTTCGTCAACATTTGGGATGGTAACAACAAGAAGAGGCTATATCAGGTTTAGCAACTGACAAGAGCTTTTTAGTTCCATTATCTCAGTGTTCCTTAGTGTGACACAGAAATGTATTATTTGGTCCTTGTTTCTTTTGCAGTATTCAAAGTATCCAACAAGTATCTCGGCACTGTCATTTAGTCGAGATGGTCAGCTACTAGCTGTTGCTTCAAGTTACACATTTGAAGAGGGGGAGAAATCGTAAGTATCTTTTTCCCTTTTTTAATCCTTTGAAGTTTTAGAATAGCGTGTGCCTTTGGAATCTCGGATGACATACAGAGAATGATTTGGGCATAATTTTGATTGCTTATAGAGAATAACTTAGCATCTCTCATATAGATACAGTAGACTTCAGATCTATGCAAACCGTCATACCTTGTTCCTTAGTCTTGCATGTATTTTGACAAACAAGTAAATGCTTAAACCGCACACTTGAGGATTGTAATCTTGTAACGCAAACCCGAAAGTTTCATAAAATAATGAAACCACCTTTGAAAAAGACTGCTTTAGAGATATGTATTTGGTTTCGGGTTATCATTCTCTTTAACTGGGTCTGTGTGTGTGTGAGGTTTTACAGGCAGGAACCAGAGGCCATCTTTGTAAGAAACGTTAACGAAATCGAAGTGAAACCTAAACCCAAAGCATACCCAAATAAGGCTTAGCAAGGAAGAAAAAGAAGCATCCTCAACACAAGTTGGGTTTTTTTCAGTCTTTGCTAAGATTGAATCCAATTCAATGTATGCTTGAGCTTTTAATCTCTTTTTGTTGGTTGTATAGAGTGAAGTAAGAACACAATGCTTTGTAGTTCAAGGATATATTACCTAATAGATTTTAGACTGATGCGAAAGAGATATAGTCAAACCTATCTTTTGCAAAAAAAAGTATCTGTATTTCTTGCAGATAAATGGGACAACAAAACTTGCGATGCTTAAATGAATGAAAAGAGATCATTCTATTGATACTTTGTCGACACGATTGAACTCTATTTCTTGTAGCAGCAACCTCACGTCTTGCGTCTCTAACCG